TTGATAATGAAAAATAATCACATCTACCTAAGGATAACACCAACTATTGGATACTCAATAGTTACAATATACATGCATATTTACAACTAAAAGAAACAATATATATATATATATATATTTTTTTTTTTTTGTATGTGTGTATATAACTATACAATAATCTAAATAACCAAAGTGTTGCCTTAGGTGCCAGTTAAGCACATCTATACAATAGCTACCTAAGAGCAGCCTCCAAAAGACAACAACTCCATCATCCGTTTACAACATCTCAAACTTGTATCTACTCTACTCTCGTATAAAATATGATCATCGTAATCAAACTACATGAAAACAAGTAAGGGTAAAATATTGAATGTAACTAGAGTTAAAAATATGTTATAAACAGGGTGAAAATTGCATAAAAATAGGCCCTAAAAGTATTAAAAAAAAAAAGTAAACAAAAAATCATACTATTTTTTAGTTGCTCGTAGGATATATTTTCACATAATTTTTGTTATGCTTATAGCCAATTTTAGATTCAAACATAAATTAAATTTCAAGTTTTCACAAAATGTAAATCTAATATTACAAGTTTTACGTCTTGAATCAGTCAAAGTTTGATTCAAAATTGTGTCGTAAAATTGAAAATTATTATTGTTTTAGAATGAACAAATCAATTAAAATATAAATGTTAAGTTACCTAAATGAATATTTCAATAAATAAAGGACTACAATGAATCTAAAAAAATAAGATAAATGATCACAATTATAATTTAGCCTAAATTTTTAAAATTTTCATATTTTCATTGGGCTTGTGAATTGACCCGCTTATTCTCGTGGCAGACACTAACTATAGATTTTTGATTAGTTATTTTGCTGACTTGATTTATCTGACCGGTTTAAAATGCAAATTTCATGAATTAAACCTTAAATGGGGTTGAATCGGTTCATATACCCACCCTTAAAATAAGTTGATGTGAAGAGAATTAATTTTAAAATTTTAATAAAATATTTGTAGGTTAAGATAATAAATTACAAAAAATGTACCTTTAATAATCATTAATTTATAATCACTTACATATGTTTTTAATCTCTCAAATTTAGGGTCAATTTATTTTTAGTCTTTTAAATTTAAAATTAATTTTTTTAGCTAGGTAATTTTCAAAAATCTTGTTTTAACCTCTTAGATTACTAGTAATAAATCTAAAAGTAATATATTGAGACAATTATATATTACATTTTATGCATTATCAACTAGATTTAATGTGATGTTTTTCGAATTTTTTACTCAAATAATACTATTTTAAAAAAAAATTTACTCAAATAGCAACTGTGCAAATTTATTTCCCCAACTAACACCATTTACTATTCACGTTCAGAACGGGCCATTCTAAAATCAGAATTGGTCGTTCCAGATTAAAAAATAACACATGGTGAATAGATCCGAACGGGCCGTTCCAAATTCAAAATTTGCACACAAAAAGTGGAACCAGAACGGGTCGTTCTGAATTCGGAATGAGTTGTTTTGGCCTACAGATTCAGACCATTTTTTTTTCGATTTTCACTTATCAAATACTTTCACTTATCAAATACCAAAACTCAGAGACTACTATCAAGTGATTAAATTTATTGAATATTAACATTATAAATATAACTAAATAAATTTATTAAAATTCATTACAACAATAAAAATCAATGGTGGCTGGAATTCATAACCAATATTTGGATATGTCTTCATAGTGTGACCAGGGGTATGACAATAGGAACAATTTTTTACATGATTATGTTGTTCTCTAATGTCCATCTCTGTTCTAATCCTGCTGGACTTTGGCCGACCCTTGAAAGTTCTCTTAAGTTCTGGATTTGGCCACAAAGTTGGAAGAAACGCAACATCTGAGGAAAATTTGACCTGCTGGGAGATTTACAATAAGGTTAAATGAAATGTGATATGATTGCGGAAAGTTTCAGAAAGTTCATATTCATTGCTCGCATGACCTGCCGAGAGATTTAACGTAAGGCTAAATGAAATGTGGTATGATTGTGGCAAGTTCCAAAAAGTTCATATCCCTTGCTCGCATGACCCATTGAGAGATTTACACTAAGGTTAAATGTAATGTTGTGTGATTGCGGCAAGTTCCAGAAAGTTCATATCCCTTGCTTGCATGGTCACACCCCTGGTCACACTAGGAAGACATATCCAAATATTGGTCATGAATTCAGTTTCCACCACCATTGATCTTTATTGTTGTATTGAATTTTAATAAATTTATTTAGTTATATTTATAATGTTAATATTCAATAAATTTATTTATTTGATGTTAGTTTCTGAGTTTTGGTATTTGATAAGTGAAAATCGAACAAAATTTTTTTTATTTATAGGTCAGAACGGCCTGTTCCAGATTTAGAACGGTTCATTCTGGTTTCACTTTTTGTGTACTAATTTTAAATCTGGAACGGCCCGTTCTGATCCATTCGTCATGTGTTATTTTTTAATCTAGAATGACTCGTTTTAGTTGGGGAAATAAATTTGCACAGTTGCTATTTGGGTAATTTTTTTTTAAAATAGTATTATTTGAGTAAAAAAAACTCATATTTTTCACTAGTAAAGACATAAATAGATATATTTTATATGATAGTATTTAACAGACTTTTTAACAAATTTTGAATATAAGAATTAAAATAAAATTTTTTGAAATTACAAAAATTTTAAAAATCAATTTTAAATTTATAGAACTAAAAAAATTTAACTTAAATTTAAGAAATTAAAATTATATTTAAACATTTGAAAATTAATGATAACCTATTTTAACTAAACATAATTTGTATCACAACCACAATTGTGAATTTCCAAATCAATGACCACAGCGGTAATTTATTTTCTAAAAAGAACCAAATACTTTTTTCCTTACACACTTTACGAGTTACCATTGGTCAAAAGAAAAAAAAAATCTCCACTGAATATATTGTTCACTTTAACTCATTATATAAGTTAAGAATCAAGCTACAACTACCAGCCTATATACCTGCTATTCTTCTTCCATTTCAAAGATATTTCTCTGCATCTGAGTAGAAGACACACATAATTGAGTAAATGTCTTTGAAGCAGAAAACTTGAGAAACATGGAAATATTTCTTAGATGTTCTTCTTAACCCAATGTTTTAAATTGACTTAACAAATTTCTTCATTTGGGAACATTTGAGCAATTATGATTCTTTTTACCCTAAATTTTGAAAACGACACAACAAGTTCTTGATTTTTAGGAAATATATTTTCACTTGTGAATAGTGATGATTCATCTTTCATTCTTCTAGAGGACAAGCAAGATTCAAGTGTGGAGAGGTTGTTAATCTGTCAAAATGTTATATTTTAGGAAGATATTTATTGATGTTTTGCCTTAATTTATTGTTAATACTTTGACAATACTTCACTTTTTTAAATTAAGTGTGCAGAAAAAGGAAAATCCAAATGTAGTGAAATCTATGAAATTATGTAGCAATTGGACCGATAACAACATGCATGTGTAGCCTATATCAAGAAGCAAAATTATGTTTACTCACATGTATAGTATTGCTTGGATGATGAAGCACACCTTCCTTTTTTGGAGCACGGTCATGTCTCCCTCTATGTGTGTGAAGCATGATTGTGCTTACATATATGCATGGTCGTGCTTAACAAATTAAGCACGCCTGACTGTTGAAAGCACGTTTGTACTCCTTTTGATTTGCATTGAAGAATTACAAAGGCGCAATCATGCTCCCTATGCATGGTCTTGCTTTAGGAGTTTGTCCTTGATTTTGTTGACTATAAATAATGATGTCTAGATCACACTACAAGCATAAAATTTTTATCTAGTTTTCTAATGTTCTTAGCTAAAGTTTTTCTTGTAATTTCTTCTTTCTTTTATTCGTCATTAAGGTTTTGAAAGAGGCTAAAGGCCAAATCCTAAAAGGAGGATTCTTCTTATCACAATTAATTCTTTTTCCTTATTTAAAAATTCATTGTTATATAAAACATAATTATTACAAAAATTTAATATTCATATATAAGTTAATTTATTTTATAGTTTTTATTTTATTTATAATTTTAATTAATTAATTTAAATTTAATTATATATTTTACATTTTTTAATAAGTAAATGAATGATAATGAAATAAAATCATTTTAAAATATATTTTAATTAAAGTATATTTATATGATTAATTAAATTAAAAATATACTTTTATGAATAATTAAATTAAAAGTATTTTTAAAATATTAGAATAATTATTTTTAACGTAAAAGGGGAGAGCGGTGTAATATTTTATCTCTCATGTGAGAATAATGTAATTTACTCTATATTTTAACTTTTTTCTCATTAATATATTTAAAGATGTAATACGAAAAAAAAAACATTAACTACTCATTTTGTTAATAACAATGATCTTTTTTAATTGAACAGTATTTTATAGTCTTTGTTATGTGACTTAGTGATCACCAATTCCAGAGCTATTATATCCTTTGTAGCATTTTCAAGTGTGTGGATTACTAGATCCTGTCTAGTAGGAGAGACACACATAAAGAAAGGGTTAGTGTTAAATTTTTATCAACTATTTTATGTTAGTGTATCTCTTTTGTTAGGAAATTCCTATGCCAGTGAGGATAAACACATATAATATTTTTCTTGTTTTTTTTTTTGAGGTTTTAGTTTCTTTGGTACGTCTAAAAGTCTAAAACTGTGAGAAGAAAAATAAACCCTAAATTAAGGGTGATCTTATAAAAAATTTAACCATAACCAAAATTAATTGGTTTTATAACAATTGGTTAATTAAAAACTATTGCAAAAATTAACTTTTATTTTTTAAGTTAAAATTTTGCTATATATATTTTTGATTGGTCGAATATGATTAGGTACAATTTTTATAACCGGTTAATTTTAATTAAGATTCTCGATTAGTATTTTGATAGGTAAGAGTGCCTTTAATTTCTGTAACAAGTACCTTTTTAAGAGTTCAAATTGTGAAATCATTTTTTTAGAAAATAAAAATTTATTTAATTAATATTCAAGCATAAAAATGTTGAACAATTTTAAGAATATACGTTTTGTTAGAACTAGTAAACACTAAATACTAGAAAGTTTTATCACTAATATAATTGGACTATGGATTTGATCTAATGTGTCATGCTTTTCCTTTATTTTTATATATTTTTTCTTTTAATTAATACTTTTTTCTCTTAATCAATTACAATATATATCTTTATATTACTTTTGTCTTCATAATTAATATTGTTCTTTCCTAACCAATTATAATGTATGTCTTCTAAATTAATATATCTTATCAAATTAAGTAAATTTATTTAGTTAAAAATATTTTAATTTAAAAATAATTAATATATAAAATAATATAAATTCAGTCTTATATATAACAAAAACAAAGTATTAACAAACAATTGTTCTATGTTAGGTATTATAAATTATAAACAAGAAGAATGAATGTTGAAAAAAGTTAAATTAAAACACTAACTGATCTACAATGGAAGAAAATTGAATTACCGTCATTATATTCTCTAAAATTCTTAATATGATTTTGCTCTTTTCTTTATATTATCATGTGTTTTTAGATATAAAATATTTTTTTTGTCTTATGAGGTTTATTTTATTTTGGCCGACACTTAGCCTAACCTATATAACAGTGGAAACTAATTATTTAGAACCCTGAGGTTAGAGAAATTTAACCGCATTTGATAGATTGGATTACACAAAGAACCAAAGATATTCAAAAGAAAGAAAGAGAGTCAGAGAGAGAGAAAGAGAGTGAGAGAAAGATTAGAAACCGCACTTCGATCCGAAACCCTCTTCGAAACCGCATTTCGATCCGAAACCCTTTGAAATCGCACTTCGATCCGAAACCCTTTGAAATCGCACTTCGATCCGAAACCCTTTGAAATCGCACTTCGATCCGAAACCCTAACCTAAGTTAACGTGCGTCGATGGAGCTTCGTTCTCGTTGAGGACTTTCCAATCCCATAGTTTCTGGTAGACGTAATCTTTCTGATTTTCTCTTTTACTTTCTTTTTCACAATTTCGGAACTTCTTTATTTTCTTTACTCTCTAGTTTAGACGCAGGCCTTTTCATGAACCATTTTTTTTCTTAATTGTTACTTGAATCTGTTTTGGTTGTGCTATTTTTCTTTTTGTTTTTATGTGAAGCGCGATTTCGAGATTTTTGATCGGTTGAAGTTTTGAAAACAAGAAGACTCAGACGCTGTGTCAATTTCAGGGATATTGATTATCACACTGCTCTTCATGCTGCCGCGTGTGAGGTATTCACTAAGTTCGTTGAGTTTTTGATCCAGAAAGGTGCCGAAGTTGACGCCTGAAAATTGAACAGTAAGATCATTGAAGTGAGTGGCGCGGAGCTGCAGAGGCTGAGAGGCGATGTGAAGAAGTTGCAGCTTCAAAACTGGAACCTCGCTCAGTCAAATAGCCACATGTTAGCGGTTAGTTAGTTTCCACCGAATTGAACAAATGCTTTGTTAATTGAAGGTGATTGTGATAGTAACTGTTTCTGCTTGATTTTGCAGGAGCTTAACTTGGGGAGAGAAAGGGTGAGTTACTCAATGAGTTGGTTCATTTCCCTAACTTGGTTGAATTGTGATGCAGGAAAGGACGGCGTTGATCCAACTGCTTGCGGAAAGAAAGTATCCTCTCGTGCTCCTTTTAGGATCTGAATCGAAAGCATTAAAGTGAAATGTTAATGTTAATTGAACTAATGTTGTTTCAAAATTGAACAGTAAGATTATTGAAGTGAGTGGCGCGGCGCTGCAGAGGCTGAGAGGCGATGTGAAGAAGCTGCAGCTTCAAAACTGGAACCTCGCTCAGTCAAATAGCCACATGTTAGCGGTTAGTTAGTTTCCACCGAATTGAACAAATGCTTTGTTAATTGAAGGTGATTGTGATAGTAACTGTTTCTGCTTGATTTTGCAGGAGCTTAACTTGGGGAGAGAAAGGGTGAGTTACTCAGTGAGTTGGTTCATTTCCCTAACTCTATTTGTATTTGTGGATTGTCTAAGATTGTTTTGAATTGTTTCAGATAAAAACGCTGCAGCATGAAATTTTTTGGAGAGCTGCTTTGCTTAAAGGAAAGACCATGGACGTGCAGGTATGTCATGCTTTGACATGAATAGTGTACTTTTTATGGCTATGAAGCCCCATTGTTCAAAAAATTAGAAAGTATTACTGATATAATTGGTTTTAGAAAACAGTCCAGGATCACAATTTTAGCCACAATTTCAAGATACCTGCGATTTTTTCTAGGAAATTTACTTGCGAATTTGAAATTTTGCAGAAAATTTACTTACAAAATTTTAAGTTTGCAGAAAATTTACTTGGGAAATTTTAATTTTGCAAGAAATTTACTTGCAAAATTTAAATTTTGTGGAAAATTTCTTGCAAAAATTTTGTGGATTTTAAAATTTGTAGAATATTTTTTGCAAATTTTCTAAGAATTCTTTTTCCACAAGAAAGTTTGCTGCCATTTTTTTTTGCAAGAAAGTATTCTATAGATTTTTTTTATAGCAAAAATCATAAGAATTTTTTTTGCGAATTTTGAAATTGGCAAGAAACAATTATCCACGAAGATATTAGCTGTGAAAATAAATTTGTAGAAAAATTCGCAAAAAACTTATTTCCTACAAATTTTAATGAAAAATTCCTAGAAAAATCCCTAGGTAATAGAAAAAATTCTAGTAGTGTAATTATTACATATTAAAATAATTTTTAAAGAAACTTTTATCTACTTAAAGAAAACTTTATTTTATGTGCAAAGTTTATAATAACAAATGATTACTCATAAACTTTGTGAATCAAATGACATTAAAGGAAGGATCAACTACTCAAGTAACAACATAAATTATAAATTATCATGTATATATATAAAAAAAATTATTACGCAAATTTTCAAAATCATATATAACCTCAATATTTTTATTTTGTATTTTAACATTAAAAAAATAGAAAAATCTTGACATATAAAACTATGATATAAATCTTTAACGTTTTCATTTTCTACGAAAGACTAATATTACTAAAATTAAACCTTAAAAAAGTCCGAACCTAAAGGAGAAAGCTTCGCTATATTTGTGTCCTAACATTAATTGAACATTTTTAAAAAATTAAATAATCGAGTCATTTAAAAATGGTAGAAATGAATTAAATCTTAAAATAAATAGAGAATTTAAAAATATAATTTAGCCTAATTTATATTTTGTTACAAAATAATTTTCTGTCAATTTTGAGACAAAACCATATTTATTTATATTATATTATGTGATGCTTAGAAGAGGAGTGGGCTTACTAGGCTGCAGGTGTATGAAAGCCAAAGGAGGAATAAGGGGTAGAATTTATTAAGAGAGAAATGTGTTGAATAATAACAACCAGGCTAGTTGGTATACTTGGAGTGAATAAAAGAATGGAATTCTAGTATAAGACCAAAATGGAAGGAAGAGGTAAGATAAAGTGATGGAACTAGAGGAGGAAACGTAAAGGTTTTGCATATTTGTTGCATCTAAGTGCATTTGTTTTTTGTTCTACGGTTGTTTTTTTAGGCGGTTTACCTCTATTGTAAGGAGCAAACTCCAAATTTTCTCTTCACATATTATAAGTTTATACTTCATATTTATTATTTTACTTAAATATTCATGCATATTTTCCTATTAGTTGTGGCAGCTGTTGGCTTGAAGTGAAAAAGGCTTGAGATCCCACCTGATGTCTCACAAGATTACACTTGTCCTAGGTACGTGCCAAATTCCATAATGATTTTCTTGCCATCTCTAAATTTAACTTGAACGTAGTATCTATCCATTAAGGGGAATTGGAGCATACACAATTTTTTGTTAAAATTATTTATAAATCATACTGAATTGTGTTGCTTATCTGTTTTGTTTTAATTTTCTCTGTTTTTTTTTTCCTGTTTTCTAGAATGCTGAAGATGTATTGCCTCTATGCTAATCTTGTAATGTTTCTACCATGCTAATCATGGGCATTTCTTATGCTTAAAACCTAGCAATTCTATCAATAAATTCATTTTATTAATAGTTTTTATTTATTTATTTTCATCAATTAGAGCTTAACTATTTATTTTAAATGTCAATCATTTATTAATATTTTAATTTTTTTTTATTACAAATATTTTATATATCTTAAAAATATGAATTAAAACTGATATAATAAAAATTTAATGAAATTCCAGATAAAATATTATCCATTACTTAACATCCCTAAATTATTTGAAGATATTGAAAAATATATTATCCACCAAAAACAACAAAAGAAAGAAAGTAATTAAAAAAATTAACAAATACTATCCACTTAAAATATAAAAATATTATTAAAACTAATAAATTTAAGATGAAATTGATAATTAATTTTCATTAATAATTATTAAATTATTTTAATCTAATTATTTTCATTATTTTTTTATATATATTGATTTTTTGCTTTTATTTCGATAATTTTTTTATACATTTGTTTTTTAATTTATATTTAGTAACAATTTATTTTATACTATTGTAAAACTATAATAATTATTACTAATTATTATAATATTTTAATCCAATTTTTTCCTTTATCCACCAAAAAGAATTAAACAAATAATAAATAAATAATAAAAGTGAAAAACTAATTTACACTATTGAAATTAAAAAAGTTTAAGGAAGAAAAGACAAAAATAGTATTATCAAATTGATTTCTCTACTATTTAATTGCCACTTTTTAGTTAGTATTATTCTGTTGTAATTTTTTTTAATAAGTTTCTTATATTTTTGGATGTAGCAGAAAATAGTCTCCCACTAAATAATGTATTTTTTGTGTGTTAATTGTCAAGTTTATTTGTGTCACTTACAATAATTACTAAGTAAATTTGGATTCAAATAGAAAATATTATAACTTTTCCAACAAATGAATGAATAAGTTAAACAATTAAGGTGAATGAATTATATTCAAAGGTTTAACTAATTAATATCAAATTAGATTTATGAAAAAATTTAAAGGAATTCAATTACTAAAATATTTTTATTAAAAAATTTATAAATCAAAAACCTTAAGTACAGGTAAAAAAATATATTCTAAAGGCATTTACAAAAAAAAATTTGAAAATATGAATGAAAGACTTGATATAACTATGAAAAAATTGATAAAAAAAATATAACAATACTAGAAAAATTACAACTAACAATCACCGAGACCATGATAAGGATAAAGACTCTCAAGATCCGAAAGAAGACCAAATCCCAATCCCAATCCTGCGGAAAACAATGCGTAGGCATCACCGCCATTCTTCTGATTCTGATTCATACTCTTCGTCCTCCATCTCTGATCACTCCAGGTTCCATATCTAATCCTTGCATAACTGATAACAGACACATTTCTTTTAATTATATTATTTTGTATTATTATTATTATTATTATTATTATTATTATTATCATCATCATCATCATGTATGTGCCATGCTTCACAGGATTTATGGACCTTGCAATTTTTATAGTTTTGTGTTCTCACATCCTTTAGGATCCGTGAATCTTAGTTTATCAGAAGAATACAAGTAATAATTTCCGACCATTGTAAGGGAGACAGGGGAATGGGATGAATGTTCATGTTCCAACATTTTGATCTCTCTTGGATCCGTTTTGTTCCATTTCATTTTGTCATTTTTTTTTGTTCTTGGTGTTTGGTAATGATGTGAATTGTGAAATAGAATCATAATTACGACTGATGAAAATTTATCGAAAAATGGAATCCATTTTGTTCACTATATCACTTCAGAAGTGAAACCTATTCTGTGTGAGCATGAAACATCTCATCCTTCAAACAGGCAAAAGGAGCGACAGACCAAAGAAGGTGTTTTGTTGGTAATACACTTTTTCTTAGTTTATAATCTTTCTCAATATACCGGTTTGAAAATTGAAAAAAATAAAATTGCATATTTTACCTATAATAAAATAGAAAAAGAATTGGATAAAATTAATAATATAAAGCAAATATTAAAAAATATTAGCCAAGAAAAATTACAACTAAAAATAATAAAATTAGGAAAAAAAAAAGTATTCACTTATCCTAAATGTTATTTTTTTTATAAATAGGCTCCTAAACGTTAATTTTATCCTAATAAATCTTAAAAAGTTATCTTGTTTTAAAATTAATATGATAAAATTTAATTTTATCTTGATTAATCCTTAAAATTTATTTTTTGAAAATAATAAACACTTTCAATTTTAATTTCATTATAATTATATTTATCATTTATCATTTTACAAATAGTTTTTTTAATTAATTTAGAGTTTAAGTAATTATCTTAAATGTCAATCATTTATTAATATTTTTATTTTTAATTACAAATATTTTATATATAATAAAATATGAATTAAATTGACTTATAAAAATCTAATGAAATTAGGAGATAAAATATTATGCATTACTTAACATCCCTAAAATATTTGAAGATATAGAAAAAATATATTATCCTCAAAAATAATTAAAGGAGAAAAGAATTAACAAATATTATCGACTTAAAATATGAAAAATATTAATAAGAAATATTCCACATTTACTCTTCATTAAAATGATAGCAAAGGTTACGTTTTTCCTAAACTGCTACAGCCAAATTGTGAGACACTGCACACTTTTTCCTCTTTAAAATTTTCATTTCCTTCACATTACTGGGTCATGTCTGATTTTAGGGTTTTGCGGCCATGGATTATGCTTTGCATGAACGGGTTCCCCGCTGAGGTCTTAGCTTTTTCTTTCTTCTAACATTATTTTCTTGCATGTTTATCTTTCACTCTGTTTCACATTTTTATTTCTTTGATTAATTTTGTCAAATCCGTGTTCTCATTTCATGTTCTTTTTAAATTTTTCGGTTCTTTGACTCTCTTTTTGATTGTTTCTTTTGGCTTTGAAATGATTGCATGTTTATCTCTCACTTGTTCTTTACTTTAACTCTGTTTCATGAATTTGATTCTCTGCTTAATTTTACCAATTCCATGTTTTCATATCATGATCTTTGTTAATTTTCAGTTCTTTGGCTTTCTTTCTTATTGTCATTTTTAGCTTTCATATAATTTATTAATAATTTCTCAGGTTATGTAATGTTTCTTTTATAGTACATATATGTATTTTACCCTTCTTATGTATGTATAAACACATGTGTTTAGAGTTGTATGTGTCTGGATGTTTGTTTATTGAAGGGTTTGTCATTTTCTGAATTCCGGTGCATATTACCGAATTAT